GCTCTACGTAGTAATATTTAAGGCTTTTGACCTTGGCCATAGGCTTATTAAGGAGAGATGTCACGGCTGGATGCCACGTAGAATAGCAAGGAGAAATTTTTATATGGCCCTGGTAAAAAATGTGTCAGTTTTTAAAGGTTTTTTTTGCTAGCGAATCAATTAATGATCCGTAGGAATCAATAGTTCCGAAACTATGTAATAATTTTTCAAATAACAATACATCATTGACAAGTAACTAGTTTGTTAATTCTAATTATCTGAACAATACAGCTTCATGAGCCATGGCAAAATAAATAAAAATAAAAATAAAAAAATTGTGCCAATTTTTTAAGTTTTTTTGCTAGCGAATCAATTAGTGATTCGCAGGAATCAATAGTCCCGAAAGTATGTAATAATTTTTCAAATAGCAATACATCCTTGACAATTAACTAGTTTGTTAATTCTAACTGTCTAAACAATACAGCTTCATGAGCCATGGCAAAATAAATAAATAAATATAAATAAATAAAAATTGGTGAATGAGGAAGCAACATTGCTATTGAGCAATAGGAAAAGGAACAAAAATGAAGTTTTAATTAAATGTCATTTGGAAAGTTGAATTTAACCAAAAGATAATACACCATTATATATTACTTTAGCTTTATTATCAACCAAAAAGGAATTTCACATGACTAGAATTGAGATTACATTTGCAACTCAAAGGCAATGGTCTGCAATAAAATTGGAGTAATGCTACATGCCCAAATCTGTTTTATCTCAACTACAATGAATAGAAATCGACGTTTACATGATATTTTTTTTTAAAAAGTTGTGCTCACTCTATCCAAAAAAGTTATTCCATTCATATTACATGGCATTGAATAGATTAGAGCTCTAGAGACTTCTGGAATTGCGTAGTGGAGTGTTGGAGAGAGTAGGAAGATGCTAATGTATTCTGGAATTCGTAGTGGAGTGTTGGAGACAGTAGGAAGATGCTAATGTATTGGAGAGTTTGTTGGTAGTGTCATGAACTTCTAAAATGTGTAGGGAGTCTTAGTATAGATATTTGTGTAGAAAATTTTAGAAGGTAAATAAGAAGTCTATATATGGAGAGAATGTGTTATTTGTAACTCATGTAACTTGAGCAGAAGCAAAAAAGATCTAAATGATATTTGATACTACACCTATTAATTCTATATATATCCCAGTTTAAAATCAAATGTATTAATTTTATATATATTTCATATCAAACTCTAAAATTTATAAAAAAGGAAGTTATTGGTAGCTCTCACCATTCAATAATAATGTATGAATTTTAAATTAAATGAATTTTATTTTTGTTTGAAATTTCAACCGTCGACATTCTCAATAACAAAATATAAAAATAGTTTATTTTATCATTGGACTTGAATTGTTTTCATTATAATTTACAAATACCATAATCATGATGAATTGCATGCTACACGTATATTTTACTTGTGCTTTTATATATCAAATATTAGATCAAAGAGATACAAAAATTCATTCAATTAACAACAATAATTTAACAATGTCCAATGTTTAAATCAGTTTTAATCCTTCATTTGGTTGCTGATGATTTAAATATAATTTTATTTTTATATTGCTTAGATTTCTTACATTTGAAAAGCTTACTTCAACCATGCCCTACCTACCTGTGACTTCATCTCTTGCAAGACATCCCCCATACCATCAAAATCCCCTGCTTCACCAAACAATCTTCCTTCGGAAACAACAACAGAGTAGTCTTGATACATCCTCTCATATTACTACACATCCTTGACAAAAAGGTAACATCACCCATCAATCCTATTTCCGTTTTTCTTTTTTTTTTCATGGATCATTTTCACATTATATGCCCAATCCAACCCGACCCATGTCACATGAACTTTTCTTGTAATTGTTGACATTCTATGGGACTATGGATTTCTAATTACTATAACATGGAACAGTGAAGCTCAGTTATGAACCAAGACTGCAAAATCAGGGTAATACTAATAATGAGAAGAAGCATCCACTTTAATTCTATCAGTGTCAGACGGGATGGCAATGAGAAAATTTTATATGGACGAAAGTTTATAAACTCCATAGGAGCATTTAGGTGCAACATAATTTCTATCAGATAATACTTCTTTGAATGATAAAAGGATATGCATCATTTTTTTGCAGTAATATGATAATTTACATGACAAACAAAACCAGATTTTGTATTGCCATTTATCAACCTTCAAAGAGATCCTTTAATTTTGGGATCCAGCAAATCTTTTATATGATTTTCTACTTTGTTTCGGATGGAAGTGTTGGGGAAACGTTCTACCACTTCTGCTCCAAACGAGAAGATGAGAGCTCTTCTAGCCGTCGCCAAGTCGATACCCCTTGCTTGGAAGTAGAAAAGTTGATTCTCTTCCAGATCACTAATTGCAGCTCCATGGGAGCACTTGACATCATCGGCAATGATTTGGAGATTGGGTTTGACATTTACAGTCGCACGAGGCTCAAGGAGGAGGCTCCTACTTAGTTGTCCGGCATCCGTTTGCTGTGCGTATCTGCATATCAAATTACAATAATCAGAAACATACAAACCATCCGAGTTCTAACATTTAAAGCCTTTGACCTTGGCCATAGGCCACCTATTACGAAAGGCGTCACAGACGGAAACCACATAGAATAGCAATACATCCATGATCAGTAAAATGATGTGCGCGATTAGAACGGAAACCCTTACTACACTAGTTTGATAACTCTAATTGTCTGATCAATACCATCTTCATGGTCCACTGCAAAAAATTGGTGAATGAGGAAGCAACACTGCTGATTGAGCAATCATAAAAGGAAAAAAACATGAAATTTTATTCAAATGTCATTTGGAAAGGTGAATCTAACCAAAAGATGATACACCACTATATATTACTTCAGCTTTATTTTCAACCAAAAGGAATTTCACATAACCGAACTAGAATTGACATTACATGCAATTCAAATGCAATAGCTACAATAAAATTGCTATGGTAAAGAACAGGCTCAATATGTCACTGTGGAACATGTGTACTACATGACAACATGTAATTTACCAGGTGCTTTAAGAACTGTAAAGGATTAGATGAAACACAATTACCTGTTGACTCTAACGTTCCCATCAAACACAGCCTGTCCTAGGGAATGAGCCACGATGCACTTGTGAAGTTGCCGAGAAAAACCACGTGGGTGGTCCATGACCAGCCTGCTATGTAGATCTTGTGTTTGATCGCTGACAGATAAGTGAAACGTTGATAACTCTGTAACCGTGTCTGGACCAAGTTGCTGAACATGAACATTGTGCCTGCTCAACTTTCCACCAGTGCTTACCTCTATGAGTTCATAGGTGCTAGCTGATTCCTGCATATAATCAACTTAGCTTTATAAATTTTGACAGGGGTGCATAGATTCATTTCAGCAATATGTCTCAAGGATCAACACGGATGTAGCATTAGCACTGTGGTTATGACAAGGTTAAAATTCCACGGATCACGAGTTTAATTACTTACTAACAAAAATAATGTTATGTTTGGAAGCACTGAATTGGTGCTTTGGATTTGGGATTGGAAGAAGTATAGTTTAAAATTTGAAGTAAAATTTTTCCAATCCCAAATACAAAGAGCCAAATTTAGGTGTGATTATGCCACCCAAAGAGCTAAATTTCCGTGATTACTTTACAGCTTTGGATGTGGATTAAAAGAATAAAAGAGAGAGAAGGTGTTTGAAAATGTCCTACCATTGTAGGTTTGTTAGAAAAGATAAAACAATAAACAACTGGACAACAGTTTGACGACAAACACTAAGGCAAGAATAGGATAAAGGGAGGGAGTGTGGCTGGCAAATAACAATACGTGAAAAATATACAGAACTCTGTTGCATGTTTGGATCACCTTTAAAGCAAATACTACCGTGTCTTGCAAATATAACAAACAAAAGACATGGATATAATGCATCAAACAACATTTCACATGACATAATTGAATGACTTTTTATTTCTACAACATCCAAAAGGGATTTTCCATTATATATTATTTTCTTTCAAAGGGAAATAGCAAAATTATACAATATGGCATATACTTGAAAACATTCACTAGTCTTAAAAAACATGTTTTTGAAGAAGTAGTTCCAGAAATAGAAACTATAACAAGTTTTCTATTTCTTAAAATTTACTGGTCGTTAACTAAATCATCATCATCATCATCCTTATCTTTAAACCCTTCTGGATGGTGTTGGTCACATAAGTCTTTTCTCATAATAGGTTTAATTTTTTAAAATCTTTTCTTATCACTTCATTCCATGCTAGTTTTGGTCTACCTATTTGTCTCTTACCATCTACATAAACCAATCTTCCTTATCTCACCGGCACATCTATTGGTCTGCATTAAATGCGTTCAGCCACCTAGGTCTATTTTCTCTTATTTTCTAAGTAATAGGCGCTACTCCTAATTTTTCTTACACATTGGTTATGAACCTTATCTCTTCTAGTTATTCCTAAAATCCATTGTAGCATTTCATCTTATGGAACAAATAATCGCAAATAGTTTGTCACCCAGCATTTTAGGGCCCTAGGTAGCCCTTTGAAAACTTGCAAATCTAAAACTTTTATTTTAATATGCCCATACATGAAATGAAAGGAAAAAGAAAATGTACCAGCATCCAGATAGGATCACAGCCATTGATATGATGGTTAAAGTCAACATCACTAGATCATCTAGCTGAGGTAGTAAGTCATGGGGATGGTGTTACTTCATTCCTGGATTTAGAAAGCTTCAAGAAAATTTTCGCCTTTTAAACTCATTAACCACAAACAAATAACTTCTGCTTGCCAACCCTTCCCCCAACCATCAACCCCACTCCAAAAAGGCCAAAAAAAAAAAAAAAAAATTACTAATTCAATAGGTGGAAACACATAACAGTTGAGCAGGGGAAGCTTCTATTGATAACTAGGATCATCAAAAAAAAGTTCCTTGATTGCTAAAGGCTTTTTGTCATCAAGAAAAGCCAAGGATACTAGTGATAACATACAGCCCCAAAAACTGTCACCGTCATTTTAAGAATCAGATCATTGTTAGAATATTTATATATATGTGTGTGTGTTGGGTCATTATGTAATTACATATAGTTGGTAGGGCCCTTGTGTTATTAAGTTAGTCTTGTATCTTTTATATAAGCCTATGTAGGCTTATTAGGGTTATGCAATATACATGAAACATACTGATGTCTGCACTCTCTCTCTCTCTCTATCTCATGATTTTGAACCTGGTATCAGAGCAACCACCTGATACCATGTGAAGTATCTTCCAGATGGGTCCATTGAGCGTTTAAAAGCACGTTTTATTGCCAAAGGTTATACCCAGACTTATGGTGTTAACTATGATGAGACGTTTGCCCCCGTTGCTAAGATTTCTTCTATTCGTATTTTGATTTCTCTTGCTGCTAATCGACATTGGCCTCTGTTTTAGTTAGACGTTAAAAATGCCTTTTTGCATGGTGACTTAGCAGAAGAGGTTTATATGGAGCAACAACCTGGGTTTGTTGCTCAAGGGGAGTATCGTCATACTGTTTGTCGCCTTAAAAAGGCCTTGAATGGATTGAAACAATCTCCACGGGCTTGGTTTGGAAAATTCTCTCAGGTGGCATTAAAATTTGGTCTTAACAGATGTCAGACCGATCATTCGATATTTCACCAGCGCACTAAAGCTGGCTTCATTTTTCTTGTGGTGTATGTAGATGATATTGTGATCACGGGTGATGATTCTGAAGGCATTACTAAGTTGAAGTTGTTTCTGCAACATCGATTCCACACTAAAGACTTGGGTAAACTTAGGTATTTCTTAGATATTAAAGTTGCTAGATCCAAGACGGGTATAAGTTTATCTCAATGAAAATATGTGTTGGACTTATTAGAAGAAACAGGTATGTTGGGTGGTCGTCCGGTCGATGCTCCTATGGATTCAAATACAAAACTCGTGTTTGATGAGGGTGATCTATTTAATGATCTGGGCAGATTTCGTTGCCTTGGGAAATTAATTTATCTCATTATCACTCGACCTGATATTTCATATGCAGTTAGTGTTGTAAGTCAGTTCATGGGAGCTCCTAGAATGCCAAATTGGATTGTTGTTCTTCGGATTATCCGATATCTCAAGCAACCTCCAGGTTTTGGGTTACTATATAAATCAAATGGTCATCTCAGGGTGGAAGGTTTTACAGATGTCGACTAGGCTGGTTCTCCTTCAGATAGGAGATCTACTACAGGCTACTGCACATTTGTAGGAGGAAATTTTGTTACATGGCGAAGTAAAAAACAAATGGTGGTAGCTCGATCTAGTACTGAAGTTGACTAGAGGGCAATGGCCCATACCACTAGTGAGTTGACATGGATACAACATTTTATAAAAGAACTTGGGTTGACAGTTAAAGCTCCTACTTCATTATTCTGTGATAATCAAGCAGCAGTTCACATTGCATCAAATCCTGTGTTTCATGAAAGGACCAAACATATTGAAGTTGATTGTCACTTCATTCGAGAAAAAATATTACGTGGAAGCATCTCTACTCCATTCGTAAAGTCTGAATATCAATTAGCTGATATGTTTACCAAAGCATTGGGTCATAACCGGTTAAGGACTATCTGTTCCAAGCTAGGATTATTTGATATATATTCTCCAGCTTGAGTGGGAGTGTTAGAATATATATATATATATATATATGTTGGGTCATTATGTAATTACATATAGTTGGTAGGGCCCTTGTGTTATTAAGTTAGTCTTGTATCTTTTATATAACCCTATATAGGCTTATTAGGGTTATGCAATATACATGAAACATACTGATGTCTGCTCTCTCTCTCTCTCTCTCTCTTTCTATCTCTCTATCTCATGATTTTGAACAATCATTAATCATAGAACACTTGAAATCTAAAAACAAGCAGAGGCAATTATGAGTTGTTAGTTCATTGAAGAATAATTTATAAGCTGAAAAAGAGTATCGACCCAAATTCACCAAGGAACCAATACATTTCATTATTTAGGGAACCAACCCTAAATGACAAAAAATTGTCCCTAGATCACTTTGTTGGAATGACATTTGAATGCCTAACATATGGCTAATAAAATGACAACCAGCTAGTTCAAAAAAGGACATAGAAGGCCTTGATCAGTATCAATTCCATCAATGAGGGGTACAGGGAATGATGGACTAAACATAAATGTAATCTCTAGCCTTATTCACACAAAGGGAGGAAAGTGGCATTAATTTCTCCCATTGAAAGAGAATTCCTAAGTACTATGGCCTGGCTACAACGGGAAATCCAGATCAGATAAGATAAGATGGATTGTGAACTGCACACATGGGACATACATGCACGCGCGTGCACACACAGAGAGCTTAACTGAGATGGATCACTTGGACCAAACCAATATGTCCGATCCTGTTACAGACCAGAAATTGATTATCACTCTCATTTATTTCTCCTTATTCATAATTCATCCAATCCTGTCAATGTCTACATAGACACCCTATTTACCAGTCTTGTTATTGGTGGAAGTCAAATCATTCTTAAAAATAGAACATTTTGTTGTTGGATGAAGTTTATGTTTGATGCTTGCCAAATATATTAGGTTATGTAATTTGTAAATTCATTTATGCAGGTGGATTGGAGAAGTTGGCAACTGTTCAATTTGAAAAGCAGTCATTTTATTACCCCAAATTATGCAGAGTTCTACTTTGCCAGCAGAATCTATCTTTGCTTCATTCTTTTATTCAATTTTCTTTTCATGGAGTTGTCATTTAATTTAGTAACTGAAATTTTATTTATTAAATGGTAATTTGCACTCACACGCCCCTCAAGTTTGGGTTAAAGACACCTAGCTACAACTTAGGCACTTTTTGGACAATGACACACCATTTCATAAATGAGATCCAACCACAGCTTTAAATGACATGAAATGTCTAATATGCCGCGCAATAAAATATTGTATTTTAAACCAAAATACCAGCTCACCTAAAATGACCAAACTACCCTTCAGTGACTATACACCACACATGCCCTATGCCCTTTCCCACTTTCTCTCTCTATATCACCACCACCACCACCACCACACACCTCAGCCGCTCTGTATTCCTCATCTTGCTCGCCGCTGCCATCGCTGCACAAGAAGGTGTTCACCATCTTTCTTCCTCGCAGCTCTGTTCTTGGCCGTTCTGTTCTTGCTCAGCGTCAATCATTGCTGTAGTTCAGAGCTTGCTCCTCGCCGGCAGTCATTGAAGTTCACTCCAAGTTTTGTTGCCGGTGCAGTTCATCCCCGCCGAGCACATCTTGCCACCCTGGTTGTGGACGGTGGTTCTTGTGGAAGGCATTTACTTTGGACGCAAAATAGTTTTTTTTTTTTTTTTTTTTCAGTTTTTCAATTGAGTAATGGTGTTTGTTTTGTTTGGGGATCTAGTAACTAAAAGTTCAGATTTTTGGGGTCAATTTTGTGTTGCTGGTGCAAGAATTTGAGCTTTATTTTGTGTTTGAAATTTGATTAAACAAATAAGCGGAAATAATTGGTGCTTGAAGAGTGAAATTTAGGTTTTTCGGACACAATTTTTCTTATGGGTGTAGATACTAAATTGTACTTAAATTTTTCTTTGGATCAGTTTTTGCAGTTTGTATAATCTTTTTCTCTCTTATATTGGATTAGATTTGCTAGGAATTGTGTTCTAATCTTTTCTTTTCTCTTTTATGTTTAGCACTGAAAAAATGAGAGCCTCCACTCAACTGACTGCCATCAAAGCATAGAAATCGTTTTCTTTTTTTTTTCCTCTCTAGGGAAACAAAGTGATTGCAAGCATCAAAAAGGAAAAAAAAAACCTATACTCCTTACATTACCTATATACGATACATATATGTGACCATTAATTGTGTACAGTTTAATTGGAATGGGAATGTGGAAGTTCTATTTTTGTGGGTTTCAGAACTAATTACAATTTTCTGATTCAACATTGTTCAATCAAAAAAAAAATTTCCTGTTCAATTCTTATACATCAATGTGAAATTTACTGATTTTTTTTTTTTTTTGATAAGTAAGATTTTATAAAAGGCGCTCAAAAGGGGAGCGCTCCCAAAGAAGACTACAGCCGTCCAAGACGACACTACAACTTTAAGCTATCCACAAAATCCAATCCATTGAATTACAGTCCCGCCCATTTACCCAAAAGAATACAATAAAGTGTGGCCTGAACGCTGATTTTATCTCACACTTAATGGAGTCTATTCAATGTATTCATTGATGAAATTGTTGTTTATTGTTTATAGCTCTCATTTTGTTATTCGCACTTATTATTATTTTTGGGCAGAGCAAGGTTGCAGAGGGAGAGACCTGGTGAAGGAGGAGATGAGAGGTTAGAGATAGAGGGAGGGTTATTTTGGTCCATTAAAGGGACTTAGAAAGGTTAAAATAATAATTTCATGGTCAATTCACAAGTCGAAGAGTAATAAGGTATTTTTACCTTATGTCAGAGGTGTCAGGGGTGTGACTGTTCAATTTTGCAAACCTGGGGGGCGATTGGTTCACACTCGCCCCAAGTTGTAGTTAGTTGTCCTTAACTCAAAGCCGAGGGGGTGTGAGCGCAAAATACCCTTTATTTAAATAAGAAGTAGTGGACTAACATACATGCAAATGGTGCATAATGCATATTGTTGGTACATTCTGGAAAAGACTAAAAATGTAATCATTATTCGAGAACCAACGGTTGGTTGTAATCATTTTACGAGAACCAACTGTTGGTTTGAATTATTTGATGATGTAACATGCCAGGTTCTTCAAAATAAGAAAATATATTTACTTATTGGGAGATAAGGAAGGAAGAAAGAATGAGAGAGAGAGAGAAGCAGGAAAAAGATGACAAAACAGAGAAAACAAAAGGAGAGGAAGAAAGACCAAAGCAGACAATCACAGGAAAGAGAGAGAAAGAGAGCGCATGCAAAGCTTTTGAAATTTGCCTTTAATATTCATTCATCTTTGGTGCTCTCCTGATTTACAAGAATAATGGTCTATTTGTAGGCTTCTAAAAAGCCCTAGAAGTATTAGGTAACAAATTAAAAAATCCTATCCCTTCTGTAATAAAATAAAAATAAAAAATAAAAGACTCAAAATTTCATAACTAAAACCTCCAGAACTATTAAAAGGATGATATCGCAGCAAGATTCATAAGACTTTCAGTGTCACATAATGAACTAAAATAAATTCTCATTAGTTATATTCATCGCCCCTCTAGCTGTAATATACTCTTTCCCATAACTTCTCGTACCAGACCAGACTCAAATTTGGATTTGAATAGCTGGAGTACAAGTGTACTCCTTGATCTTTAGTAAAGGCGGATTAAGCAAAAAAAATATTTATATAAAAAAATAAAAAATAAAAACTGCATCATTATATTGAATTTTCATGGTTTTGAGTAAGCATCATAAAATTTGTAATTGTAATTTTGTAAGACTTTGTGTCACCAATTAACTTACTAAGGAGAAACCTGGAAGGAAAATTATACTCTCTGCTCATGGATAGTGTAATACACAACAGTGGAAAAGTCTCTCTAAGATTTGCAAAGTTCAGTTTGATGATTAAGATGGAGTGTCCCATGTGCTTTTTCAAGACAAGAGACAGTTGACCATGAGGATGTCTATCACCTATGCTATTCTAAATAGTTCATTGCACAGTTTTTGTTCAACTCATACTTTTACTGAACGCTTTTGTGTATCTATAGGGAATTAGTATATCTAAACTTTGACATTTTGGGTGCTGAAATATTTTTTTACTAGCGTGTGTATAGCATGTGGGTGGACAATCTGATAACACATCAAAAAAGTTAATAGACATGTTTCCTGAATGTTAATTGAACGTGACGCACAATCATCTATAAGTCAACTCAAAGGCATGAACCCCAGAACGAAGTGGATCTTTTCCTTGCAAATCCCTTTCTAATTCTTTTCTTCTCCATTTTTTAAAAATTCTTCATTTGGCATGATAAAGCTCCTCAAAAGTCAAAGCATTACTTTGGACCATTTCTAAAGAAAGTTAGAATGCGGTGTAGAAAATTCAAGGCTTCATATAATTACAAATCTGATATCAGTTTCTTGTCCAATATCATTTTTCTTTCCTCCCCCCCTTCTTTTTGGTACTCAACCTTCCATTTGGAAGGAGGAGATACCACTTGAGCTAAAGGATCGGTGGTATTTTTAAAAAAATAAATTCCTCATCCACAATTGTTAATATTCTTCTTCTTTTTCCTAAGTCACAATTGTTAATATTTCAATAAATCAAATCCTATATAATGTGTCACAAATATGTAACAAAATTTTGGTTCCCAGATAACTTTTTATCGTTCAAATACATCAAACATGAATTCTATATGCTAACAAGAACCTAGATAAATGGATCAAATATAAGACTTATAAAATAATAAAAAAAATGGATCAAATATAAGTGAAAAAGGAATGGATAATCACCTGGCAAACAGAAGTCCACTTAATATGAGCAGCACTCAAAGACTGACTTTGAATATAAGAATGGCTAACCTTTGCTCCTTCTCCAATCACTACCTCCATAACTGAATTTGTCCAATAGCACTTATTCCCATCTCCCCCAATATACTCCTCAATTATACCAATCTCTCCTCCACTCTCCACCAACACCAACACCCTAGGATTCGAAATTGGCAACGTTTTCGACTCACTATCACCCCCTTCCATCGAAATATACCTCAAATGCAATGGACTCTCAACCCGACACCCCACCGGCACATACACCACAACCAAATCCGGGGCACCAACACCATTAAGTGACCAAAACAAGTCCCCTTCAAAATTGGACACAAATTCAAACACCCTTTTCATAATAACCTCGGAATCGAGACTCGATAAATTACCAACAAACACACCATTGGGCAATTCAGATAATTGGGAGAGAGAATTTACAATGTAACCATCAACAATGGCAAGATTGGGGAAATGGGTATCTGTGGAAACACCCAAAGAATTCAAATCCTGAGGTGAGGAAGTAATTGGTTGAATTTGAGAGTGTTTTATGAAGGAAGTGTCCGTGAACCGAAAGGGCTCGTCTTTGCGAGAAGGCCATGGGGTTGAGAGGAGGGACTGAGAGGAGGTGTCTCTGAGCTTCTGAAGAGGTGGTGGTGGAGGTGAAGAAAAGCTTGGGGATGAGGAGAGAGAGTCTTCTAGGGTTTCTGCAATTTGGAGGACAAATGGGTCGGAGAGAGTTGCAATTGGTGTTAGAGATGGGTGAGTGAAAACCCTAGTTTTGGTTGTTCTGGGTCTAAGTCTGGTTTTGGGTATTCTGGTTTTAGAGAGATATGGTGATATAGATATAGATACAGTGGGATTTGTATACAAATTCGGTGTGAAGAACGTTGAAGCAGCCATGGATGTTGGTGGGTGAGTTTGAAGTTGCAGAGAGACATTGTCAACTAATCAATAATCATGGTGATAGAAGTGACGTGTGAACAAGAAACCTAATTGGGCTTTTGAATTAATTGGGCTTGCTAGTTTGTGTGGAATTAGGCCTATTTTTCTTTGTTGCTTGGGCTCATGAATTGGATCATTCTGATTACTTGGGATAGGAGGATCCAAATACGACTAAACAAACCCAAATTGGACTTGCCAAAGTGTAAAATGCTGGCATGGACCTTGCGTGAACGGGCACAGTATTGTACTCCCTTCCAAAAAAATGTCCACCTTTTTATTTTTAGATGTCCCGAAATAATTTTCTGATTTGAAAAGTCCATTATTTTTTTTTTTTCTTTATAACATTACCAATTTAACTTCAATCCTATAAAAAGTAAACTAAGACTTGTTTACTCATTCCTACCTACCATTAATATGGTCAAATCACAAATACACAAATAATTCTGAGGATACGATAAGTGGTATGGGCCGGTAGCTTGCGGACGTGGGATCAGGGCAAACAATTGAAGTACAGCCCATACAAGAGCACCATAGAATGGGCTGAGCTAGGAGGATCCACCGAAGAAGACCAAACCCATTGGAAAGAAGGCCCAACACAGATAGTCCAGCACTTGTAATTGCCTATAAAAGGGCAGTGAAGAGAGTGAAAGAGGGAGATTTATTTTTGATTGAAAATGTAATGAGATTCTGTCTAAAGAAGGAGAGAAAATTCTTTGCATCTTCAAATTCGTAAATGATAAATAAGGACATTAATTTTCTTTTCTTTTTTTAATAAATTCAATGAACTTTTTTTATTTTCTTATTTATCACTTTTCAGATTTTGTAATTACAGACTATTTGTACATTTGTGATTGGACCCGGTCAATAGAAATGACTTACTCACCCATGAGTAGGCAAATCTTCTCCTTCTTTTTTTTTTTTCTTTTTTTTTTTTATTTATAATTATTTTGACCTCTAGTTCATTAAGTTATAAAAATCCCCTCCTCCCCCCTGAATTTTTTTTTTTCCAAAGCTCCCCCCTGGCCATGCTAAGCTGCTAGCCTATTAAATTCTTTTCCATTTTATGCATATAGTTTACAAAATGACTTTTATTTATTTTTTTCTTTCTTTGCAAGAATATTAAATTAATTACCAAGGGACCAATTGGTCCAGCGGTATCACCCCTTCCTTCCCAAAAGGAAGGTTGGGGGTTCAAACCTCAGTGGAGATAGGGTGTGTGAGTAATTGCTTTAACTTTCAAAAATAAATAATAATAAAAAAAAAATATTATTAAATTAAAAGTTTCCAAAACAACATAGAGCAACCCAACCACTGAGCTACGAAGGCATTGCTACAAAATGACTCCCTAATTTTTTTATTTTTTTTTCAAAAAAAAATCTTCTAATTCCTTTTTTTTCCTTGCGTCTTTTTCTTCATTTTTTTTTTTTTTTAATATCTTCAAAGAGAATTGCATTTCTTTTCTTCAATCAAATTCTTTTTTCTTTTTCTTTTTTTTTTACAATAAAATTTTATTTTATTATGTGTCAGTGTGCCCGGAATCAAATTCCTCGCTCTGGGTACATATTTTATATATATATATATATATATATATATATATATATATATATATATATATATATATATTTATTTATTTATTATATACAATCAGATTCATGTAGAGAGAGAATAATGCAATATCATCTCAGTTTATCTTCTTGTTTCATTGATGATATAAGACTATTTAATATCATTCAAAGTATTGTGCAGTCAAAGTAGTGTTGATTGCAATTCGTAAATGTTTTCTTTTAAAATAATTTTCAGGGTTGCAATTTGCAGTGTCTTTTACTCTTTCTAAGTAATTTTTACGGTTTTATATTGCAATTGGTTTACGACGGGTCTTACTAAACTTGACATCTAATCAGTCACATAGAGTCAGTTATTGCAGAGCCAAGCTACATAGTATTATTCATAAGTAAACATACAATTTAACTTAGTAAATCCTAACGTATCAACATTTAATCCCTTAATAATATCATATAATCAATATACTAAGTGTACATACATCTTTTTGTAATTTTATCCAAATTGAATTATCATGGATAACAAATCCAAATATTTTGAGAAAGAGCAAGGGAGGAACTAGTAATGGGCTAACATGGGGTATAGCCCAAGTCCAATTGAAAAAAAAAAAAATTAGTATTATTATTCCTATAAGCCTATATACTATTATTCCTCTTCGTATCAGCCCAGTCTAATCCATAGTATTTCTATAAATAAAAAAAGTAATAAAATTTACGAAGGTCAAGTCTTAAATATAAGCAAGCCCACAAACCATGGACATGTCCGATCACAAAATAAACCATAATAAAATATAATAAGCCCAGTCCAGTAAATCAAACATATTGTTAGTCTATGGAAAAAGACCTAAACTCTTCGTGTGTAAGGTACTAAGCCATAGGTGGATGGATATCATGAATTATTATTGTTAATCCAGTGAAATATTGAATTTTATTTTTGCAAAAAAAAAAAAAAAAAAAAGGAGGGGGGGTGGTGGCTTTGTTAATGACTTGATAATTTCTTGTTAAAATTGGGTAATTTATTATATAATAGATTAATAACTAGTCAAGAGCGGAGCACATAGGTCTTACTTTCTAATACGAATTTATTAATAAAGAATATATATATATATATATATCTTACATTCTTGTAGTTATTTGTTTTAATACTTGTATAAAGCAAATTTCAATAGATTCTTAACTGTGAAAATACGTTAGAGTTTGAAAGTGTAAATCTGTTAGAAGGTTGTAAATTATTGGATTTAATTGAATAACTTATGCATGATAATTATGTATTTAAGTATAGATGACACACTAATTAGTTATTTTTAGTCTTTCCTACTTTACAATTCTGGCTCCGCCCAAAGAAAGAGCACACATAGTATTTGCAACTTCATCTAAATATATAAAACAAACACACATTGACCAGTCAACTTATTTGTGGATCATCAAAGATCTTATTTGTGGATTTTACGTACCAGATTAAAATTCTTTACAGTAAAAGTGAATGCAATATTTGAACTTTTATCCAAATAAAGACACACAGTTGACCAAATATAGAACTAAATCTGACCCACCATGATTTATATATAATTGTAGTCAATTCAATTACTCCGTATAGACATTTTGGTGGGTAAATCTGCCAGGTGCTTTTTTTCGATAAGGGTAAATCTGCCAAGTTGACAAGCTTAATGATTACTTTTCTGAATTAATACTAAAATTATGGGGTGATTAAGAGTGGACACATAGGTTAGTGTCACTTCTATTAGAATTGGTTAGTATCACAAGTGACAATTAGGACTGGATCCAATGTATACGAAGCTTCAAGATCATGCTCTAGAGAATGAATTATGCTTGATTAAAACAAATAAAACAAAAGAATTTGAGTCACTCCAAATGCAAACTTACAAGAGCATGGAAGTATATGGAAAAAAAAAAAATTTGAAATCTTGGTAAATTCATGTTATTAATTAATATATATAATACAAAACTTGTATCATAGTGTGAATAACAATATAAATGCTTTTACGAAACTATGGTCATGATCATTGAATGTTCTCGTCGTCTAATATCAACCGGAGCAGCTGGAGCGTTAGGCGAATTAGGCTGTCGCCTAAGACCTCAACCAATAAGTAGGCCTCATAATTTTTCATTTCTTTATATATTATAACTTTCTTAAAATAATTATGTTAATTATTAAACATCAACAAATAGAGGGATTTGACATTATTGTTTATCACCTTCTTCTTTCTTTTTTCAGGGTCCCAAAATTTTTTCCTTATATATTATAAGCTACCTAAAAATTTTATTTTCTTCTATCATTAAACCTCAATCGATAGAGAAATTTAATATTAGGCCCAAAATATTTCTGTATTTATATTACTTTCTTATTTTAATTTTTAATCTCTCTCATCCTTATTACATGAGCGTATACACACACATATACATATATATTACTACACCAATTATAAATATCATTCATTGTGGTTGAACTTGTGAAACTTTCTATATATTTTTAAAACACCTATTAACATTTTTTTTTTTTCTTATTCCTCACATTTTTTTCTCCTCTCATTATAATTTTTTATTTTTTTCATCTTCTCCACTCCTACAATTTACAACATCACTCCGTCATAAAACTTTGAATAAACGTTTATTCTATTAAAGAATTTTTTGGAGTATTAGACCAAATTCTTTGAAATCGGTTTCTATTGTTTTATAACTTCAATTATTTTATAGTTTTATTAAATTTTGTTATCATAAAATTATTTATTTGGTTTGTGAGTTGTTATCATTTTTATTTATATTATTGAATATGTATTCTAGAAAGTATATAGTCAATTAATTAACGATAGATTTAGAAATTGAAAAAAAAAATTAGTACTACGCTTAAAAATCACAAAAACAAATAATGAGCATATTACTAGCATAAACATATGGATAGACTCTATTAAAAGACCATTCTATTTTTTTCGCGTAAGGTCTCAAATTATATTGAGCCACCCCTGATATCAACTATAATAGATTGAGTGTTTTGAGATTTAACCTAAAAGTTTAAACAATTAAATTGTGCTAACACTCATCTGGATTTGATGTGAGACATAACTTTCCCATGTAACACATCCACTTGATAAGTTAAAATGTCAAAAATGAACTATTAAAGTAAAACGAAAAAGTACATATGAAGCAAAACATAAGTGTTTTAAGCCATGGTAGCATAGATTTTTTTTTTTTTTCTCCTTAGATTGTTATATCATAAATTAGTCTTGGAATTCAAAAAATGTATGATCACTTGTGGAAAAAAGAGAGGCAAGGCGTATAATATGGAGAAAGTGAAGTACTAGGAGGGTGATCCTCACTGATAGATAGAGTCCTCAATCGTTGAATTGAGAGGTACATACTCGACCTCTTTATCTAACCATTCAAGGTGTGAGAGGTCAGATGAAAATGTCTTTATGAAATTTTATTTAATTTTTTTTTTTTTTTCCCA